GAATTAGTGAAGTATAAAATTAATGAAAAATTTGATACTAATTCCGAATTAGTATAGTAATTCCTTAATCCTTTCTTTCAACATTTTCTAATTTTTAAAGTTATTCAAAAATAATTTAAAATAAAAATGTGCTTGGGCTGAGTATTATTGGGCCTGAGTATTAGCCCACGAGATATGTGCATAGTAAACCCAAACAAAACCAAAAATCTGTCAATCTTAAAACAATATTGTTCCGTTTGGGAAGCCTTTGCCGATTTCATCCTTCTTCGATCGTCATCTTCGACTCCACTCTAAGATAACTTAGGAACCCTAATCTTCTCAGAATCTCTGCTAGATTAAATCGGAAGTAGAATCGAAGGGGAAGAAAAGAGAAGATGTCAGGTAGGGAAGTTCGAGAATACACGAATCTATCCGACCCTAAAGGTGCGTCATCTGATTGATATGGTTTTCTGGGTAAATTTCATTCTGGGGTTTCTCCAGAAACCCTTTTGAGCTTCTGGGTTATTTTGTTGCAGATAAGAAATCAGGTAAAGGTAAGATAGATGATGAAGATGTTACATTTCAACGGATGGTTGCAAAGGTTAGCGCGTCGCCCTCTCTCCTCTGTTATCGAATCTTGTTTTTGGCAATCGATTGGTTGCATAAATTGTATGCGAGAGCTATCTGTGTGTGTATGTACATGGAGTTAGGCATAGAGAAATTGAGGTCAATTAGTGGTCTTTGTTGCTGTAGTGTATTTATGTATGGTATATTGTCATTGATTCGATCAAGCTCTTGTTTCCCTAGCATTGGATCAATACTGTATGTGGTTGTTTTGGTATAGCTAGTGAAGTTATATAGATAAATCTCTCTCTTAGCATTGTTGGTTATGGATGTATGTGAAGTGATTCTTTGTGTTTGATTCTATTTTGGGACGCGACTTTTCTGATAACATGCCCCGGCAGGGATAACGGCCCCCGCCCCATTTTCTGGTTATTGCATTTAGATGCAAGAGGTTGCTGGTGAGCGTGGAGGCTATCTTCATGGACGAGGCGGTACCAATCTCTCCTTTTGGATTTATTTGGCATTGTTTCATGATCATATATATCTCTTGAG